TAAAAATAGGGTACATGTTTTCAGCTAATTGGTTGTTTTCATATATCTAAATACGTATTCTCCCCAACCTATTCCTCTCATTGATGTAATCTCTCTTCCTAGCATAAATAATCTGGTTCCTGACCCTATCAGCACCTTACATAAACAATAACGACCTTTGACCCCTATCCTGCATACAGAACACGTATAGTTTATGTTTCCGCGCCTGATGTAATAATTGTGTATACCGCAGTAAATTTCAACACAGCGTCGATTACATAGAGTCGTTTTACCCATGAGTGTAAATATGCAATTATTCATGGTTATAAATCTATCATATCATTTGTCTAAATGCAAATCACATCTACACTGGTGAGATATTGATTAGGCAGTCAGCCAACGCTATTTATAGATCGCTCTAAACTAGGTCATGGTTTATGCATAGCCACAGCTGTCACTCTGACTTATGCATAATTGTATAGCTGAAAATCAATACAGAAGTGAATCCCATAATCACAAATGTGACCTCGCGATTTTTCTGAGCCTCTGACGGTGTATAAAACTGACTCATTGTTGGTCTCGGTATTGGGTCGAGTTTTTTCCCATAAACGAGGTAGTATTCGTGCATGGCAGATTCGACATCCTTAAACGTTTGAGTAGAATGTCCTTCCTTAAGCAGTTTTTCATGAATAAAGTCTAATCTCTTCATTCTCTGCCGCGTATATTGTGACTGGGCTGCTTGGAGTTGTTCCATTTCTTCGTTATGTCGTTTACGTTCCTCTTCAACTTCTTTAGCGTTTGATTCCCTCATACTAGAAAATAAAAAATTACTCCCCGAAAAAGCTAGAGCATTAACAATAGCTCCACCGACCATCATCGCAATTGTTGCGATGTTTATATGAATATAATATATTCAAATGTTTAATTACTTCATTATGTCTTCCGGGATAAGCCCTTGTTTGATGAGCATATCCTTCGTTGCCATTGCTAATCCAATATCAAGAATGGCCATACCAATATCATAACTATTAAAATCTAGCTTGGGAGGTGTGGCTTTAGTAATCATTTTAGCCATACGGGCATAGCCAATGGCCAAGCCGGTGACCACCACTGAATGATACGTCGCGTTTACCAACATTTTACCGTCTGTAACTGGAGTAGTCATGCTTATTATAGCATTATATGGGGGCTAACCTCTAATTGAACTTGTTGTTGCGGCAGGGGTTACGTTTTCTCTTCTCCGGTCTTATAAAAGAACCATACAGCCGCTATACCAGCAACTCCTACTAGTGCCCATGTTTTAATCGGATTAATATTTGAATTATTTATTAATTTCGCTTTGCGCGCCAGTCATCCCTTTCTTCCTGCAGCTATTTTTTGGGGGTTCTTAGTAACTCTGGGTTGTTTTTGTGTTTGTGGTTACTCATTCACTCGTTGTTCCTCATTCACTTGTTATTGCGTTTCCACAATCTGTTGTTCCTCGTTCACAATCTGTGGTGTTGACTGTTGAGTCTCCATTATTATTAAGTGGGAACGTATGTTTAAATTGACAATACCTAGCCGTTATTAAAGCTGTGGTGAATGGAGCTAAGAACATTCCGAATCTATGATAAAACTCACAGCTCACTGAGCTTATAGCGTGTTCGATGAATGGGTCTTTCTCGAGAGATTCGCATAAATACATGCGATGTTCTGCCGGGATAGGGAGAAACGTACTAGCTACGACTGTGTATAGTTGTAATATAGACAACCCTATCGTTTTAGTCATGGTAGCTCCCAGTCTAGACTTGTAACGCGCGTACAGTTTTTTAATCTCTTCGTCGGTCATGTTATCAATTTTTTCGATGGTATAATTTTCGCCCAAATATTGGGAACATTTTCCACCAGCTATCAAAGCCGCGAGTCTTTCTCTATGTTTATCTAAAGATTTATCTAAAGATTTTTCTACATGTTGATCAGGCTCAGATTCTTTGAGCATTTGTTCAATGAGTTCATTGCATTCCATAATGTAATACCTAAGGAGATATTTAAGTCTAACATAATATAATATGGCATTTCCAAAACAACCCATAATAATGAACTGTTGCGAAAGAATGATGATTTCGAACCACATTTTATGTCATATTAACCGTTAATGTTCAATTTGCTACATTTTGCTATAATTTTGCTATAATTTTGCTATAATTTTGCTATAATTTTGCTATATTTGCTATAATTTTGCTACATTTTGCTAAGCAATTGCATAAGCAGCTGGTTGATCGGGTTTTAATACGAGTTTACAGTGCTTCGTTGCTGCTAACAGTTTTCTAACTTTATCTCGTTCGGGCTTGGTATAAATGACATCATTTTCACGTAGACATTCCTCGAATGAATCTCTGTCTTTGCAATGAAACAGGGCTACCCATTTGGTCTGCTCTCTGAGATCTCTCAGGACAGAGTTGTATTTTTGAGTAAGTACCCAAACGCTATGTTGAGTATGCCTACCGGAGAATGCTAAATATGAAAGCATATCTTTCTTTTTTGTTAGTTCTTAACTCGCGCTGCAGTCGTCTATTACAAAAAGGGTTGATTCTCCTCGGTATTTTTCGTGACATACTCGGAGGCAGTCTTGTAAACGATCGCCCGGATCGATTCTGTGTACCCCATTGTCATTCATGACCCAATCTCTCGATAAGTATGTTTTATTAACGCTTATAGTCGGGCACAGAATAATAATATGATCGAAAACGTCCCGGTAATGACTTTCTAAAATATCTAGAATAAAAGCTGATTTTCCGCAGCCCGTTTGCCCGCATATGATAGCGCAGTGCGGATCTTTAGGTAAAATATTATTAATAGATTGCTTGCACGAATCGTCCATTCTGTATATTAAGTTGCGCATCCATAATCACGTACAAATATATGTTTAATTTACCAGCCGTTTCCCGGAGCTTCCTTATCTGTATGGTGACACCCTCGCTAGCATTTTCTATTCTCCTCCCACTGCCGTGTAGTTGGTCAACGTCCGTTGTTCGCATGTCGAGCCATAGCGCGTACTTCGTGGTGAGGTATTCACCCATCAATACACTCCCGAGAGACAGATCTTTCACGACCGCGATAACTTCCGGGGATCATTTTATATATAGAAGGAAGTTTTTTTAATCTCATCCCACTGGTGATACGCTAGCATTCCTTGGCTATATAGTTGATTAGGAACGCCTTCGATAGTCAATTCTACTTTTGAAATCTTGGGATTGTAGAACTTCTCGGTATTTCTTTTAAACGCATCGGAGGGGTCCTCGAACAACATTAAAATACGCTTTAACGACCTCGTGGGGACGTTTAGATTAATATTCCACATCTTATCTTTTTTGTCCCTCGTGATCTTTCGATGTCGCATCACGCGATCGTACAAAATGGCTAAACTTCCGGTATAATGGTTATGAATTTGTCTGGCTAATTCGGGATCCGTTATCATATCGTACTCCAGCGAGATATTGTCAATGAAATATCTAGCATCTTCATTAGCAGATCTGATTTCTCTGCCGTAGTCATTAAAAGTGAGTTCGTATTCTAACCTATCGCCTAGGGATGTGGGAATCTAGTAATTCAAAGTCTAGGGGAATATAGAATCGGTTACCTAATGCGTCGGCAACGGCCTTATCTTTTTCGTTGGTATCAACACCATTTTCAGCACCTACGCGCAGTCTCAATGTGTTCTTATTACAAATACCTTGGTACTGTAAGTTTTCCCGCTCTTTATCCGTTCTCCAGAGATCCATGTAGCAATAGTATACATCACTATCGTCGATACTCAAAACCTCATTACCGCTAATTTTAATCGCGATTTTCTTAACGATAGCACGACCTATGTTCTGAAAGGGCTCCCTGTTAACGTCGGTAGAAGTCAAACCAAACGTAAATGCTCATCTAAAGCAATGATTGGCCCCAGGTATTGGTGAGCTAGAGCCAATTTAACTTAATCTTATGACTATCATTGAATCGCATAATCATTTACGCATAAAAAATGCCACCTGTAGTAGCAGTATAGGTATATGAATCCGGCTCCAGTGGAGTTGCGGCAGAACCCCTATTACCTATACTACTTCTGTATATTGTGTAGGTATGGACTTGATAATCCTTGTCCTTCCTTTAGTCTTCTGTATATCGTGTAGGTATGGACTTGATAATCCTTGTCCTTCCTTCAGTCTTCTGTACATTGTGTAGGTCTTCTGTACATTGTGTAGGTATGGACTTGATAAACCTTGTCCTTCCTTCAGTCTTCTGTACATTGTGTAGGTCTTCTGTACATTGTGTTGGTATGGACTTGATAATCCTTGTCCTTCCTTCAGTCTTCTGTACATTGTGTAGGTCTTCTGTACATTGTGTAGGTATGGACTTGATAATCCTTATCCTTCCTTTAGTCTTCTGTATATTGTGTAGGTATGGACTTCATAATCCTTGTCCTTCCTTTAGTCTTCTGTACATTGTGTAGGTATGGACTTGATAATCCCCATCCTTTCTTCAGTCTTCTGTACATTGTGTAGGAATGGACTTGATAATCCCCATCCTTCCTTCAGTCTCCTATACATTGTGTAGGTATGGACTTGATAATCCTTGTCCTTCTTTCAGTCTCCTGTACATTGTGTTTGTATGGACTTGATAATCTTTGTCATTCCTTCAGTTTTCTGTACATTGTGTAGGTATGGACTTGATAATCCTCGTCCTTCCTTCAGTCTTCTGTACATTGTGTAGGAATGGACTTGATAATCCTTGTTCTACCTCCAGTCCTAGTCTTCTGTACATTGTGTAGGAATACGTATAATGTACACTGTCTTATTATTTTATGTTTCTCATATTATATGAAACAAACAATTAGACTTATTTTAAAAATTTGACAATCATTTGAAGGTGTGGTGTTATCTTATTTTAGCTATGGATGTGGTGTGTGTAACACATATTGACCCGGGGAGTATGCGTACACTTAGGCTCGGGGTTAGAGAGGAAGACAGTGCGGTCAGTTGATGATTAAAAGTCTTACGCTATTTGAAAGAAGTTTATTCAAGAAAAACATGAAACATTCAGAATAAAACAAAACCCATAACCCACAAAGTGCACATTAACAGATGAATAAAGCATGACATTTACAAAATAAATCATATATACAAAATATGAGAGTTTGCCACAAGAAGCATTTTTATCTACTATCAGGGTAAACCACCACACAGATTTACCCTTGTGCTTGCTTTGTGCTGTAAGGTTAACTACAATACTTCTTCAGGTTTAATGGTTATAGTTCAAACTAGTCATACGTATGTCTTTGATTAATGCTGAGGCGTCCATATGAATAACATTTCACATAATATATTTCTGTTGTGGATCTACCCTTCATCAACAAAATAGTGAACAGGAACACCCAGGCATCTAGATACTGATAGAATTGGGGATGGCGTCGGGATGAAGATAATCATAGGGAGGATTCCTTGTTTCATTTCTCTTCTCAATCTCCCTACCGACCTCTTTCAGATCTCTCCGGAATCTGTAACAGAATCATCAATAAGCTGACACAGACCTGACATGACTCAGTGATACGTGAAATCTGTAAGTAAAGGATGAATTATTGGACTGGGGTAACACATCAGTGAATTGTGGTTTGCATGTAGAACAGAACATTGTTTAAAACCATGAGCATAAATAGAATCAGGACTTTTCTAGCATGCACCCGAATACATTACATACAACTACACATTTCCAGAGTTATACCATTACCTTCAGTTTGCCCTCTATATGACATAATGAGAAATATAGATGCATTTGCACTTCTAGGGTATTACTTTAAATCTAATTACATGCTTGAATATTTCTGGTTGAAAACATGGACGATAGATCTTGCAAGAATGTCATACACACATAAAATTGTTGGTTTAGTCTACAAAGAAGTCTTCACGAATGAGGATTGCGCAAAACCTTAACAATGTCCCACCTTCAGGAAACTGACATGAAGGGTTCTTGAGGTTATAAGAACATTTGAAATTTGAAATTATCACCTTGAAAACGAATGTACTTCAGGAACATTCCAAACAAATATTCAGTTTCCAGCATATATATATATATATATATATATATATATATATATATATATATATATATATATTAAAGTTGTCATTTAAATATCTGGGTAATTTTTGTAAAAGTTTCTAAAATTTAACATTAAAAATTAAAAATGAAATTTGATGATAAAAAAACAAAGCAGATGACAATAAAACCGATCGCCAAAACGTCAACGGCCATGGTAACCCGATGCACGTGAGTTCCGTGCAAATTGAAATGCACATGCGTTCCCCCATTTCTTGCCCAATAAAATACCCCCAGATCGGATAACATTCATTCGTTATTGAATTGCTACCACATGCCAAGATTGACAAGAAATCAGAGACACCAAGCCCTTGGACGATTGCAAGCTGGACAAACCGCCCGGTTACTAGCCAATGCATTTTAAGTCCACGTAAGGACCATATACAGGCTCCAACAACGGTACCAGACCACCAACACTACAGAAGACCGACCACGTGGTGGAAGACCAATGGTCATCACCCGACGTCAGGATCGTCAGATTGTTCGACATCATCTTCAAGTTCGCTTTGTTACTGCTGCGGAAACTGTTCGACAGACCATGGGGACACACCAGCGACACATAAGTGCGGACACCGTGCGTCGACGATTGGCGAGCAGACACCTCCACTGTCACAGGCCACACCGATGACCCATTCTGACATCACGCCATCGCCAGGACCGTCTTCAGTGGGCAACACAGAACCAGCATATGCGCCGCCAGCAGTGGAGAAGAGTCCTCTTCTCAGACGAGAGTCGTTACTGTATCTCAACAGCAGATGACAGAGAGAGAGTCTGGCGACGCCGTGGGAAACGTTATTCGGACGCTTGTGTTGTTGAGAGAGACTCGTGGGGTGGTCCGAGCATCATGGTGTGGTGTGGAATTGGTCTTGCACAGAGGGTCGGCCCTGTGGTCTTCCAGAACATCGGTCCAGGGAGAGGCAATGATGTCACAGCAGCTCGGTACATTGATCAAGTCTTGAGACCTCACGCCATACCTCATTTGGCACGTCTCCGCAACCACGAGTTTCAGCATGATAACGCCCGTGCCCACACTGCGAGAGCAACAAGAGACTTCCTCCAGCAGAACGGCATCAGAACCATGCAGTGACCTGCCCTCAGTCCCGATTTAAATCCCACTGAGCACCTGTGGGACGAGATTCAAAGACGGCTGAATGATGTCCGACCAAGGCAGACAACTGCAGCTGAACTGCGTCAGGCGTTCCTCAGAGTGTGGTCTCATGTGCCTATGGCCTTCATCAACCGCCTCATCCATTCCATGTATCGACGTTGCACGGCAGTCATCAATGCACATGGCGGACACACGAGATATTGACTTGTGATGCCATTTTCTCAGAGACTACTAGTGTTGTGTTTCACTTTAAGAATATTTGACATATTAATTCCAACATTGATGATCAGTTTTCCCAATTTCATCTCTTTAATATATCTCAAAGTATGTTTACAGTGTTTGGAGAAATAAGGTTTCTCATATATCTGTTCATGGTGACGTTTCTTTTGCGGTTCAGTATATATCAAGCATGATGTCCCTATGTGACATTCAACGTAACAATAGAAATAGAAATGTTAAAAATCGATGGTCACAGTGACCTTCAAATGATATCATGACATTGTTATTATTAAAATATATCTGCAGATGCATTAACCATATGAAATGTTTCAACAATCAATCTGGATTTCAGACTCACTGCATACGGTCAACCGCGTGCTGTAGTGATTAGATCATACAATATCCAGTAAATATGTCTTGTTCCTTACATTGAGAAACTTCAAGCAGCCTATATCTTATTTTCGAACTAAACTGGTTCCCCATAACACCGCAAGTGACAGAGTCCCCCGTCAATATCCCGTTTCATAGGTATTTCAAGAACAAACCCAAATGGCTATCCAACATATAAACCAAATATGAGGTAATTAGGTGAAATTCAACGTAACAATTTTAGAAATAGGATATGCTACTGGTGGAAAGAAGGTTAAAGTGACCTAACACTGTTGGTCATTGTTGAGACATATGCTTAGGGGGAAAAGAAAATATTTTACAAATGACCTTAACTGTGGTCCTGACCTTATTTGTAACTAACCATTATTCGTGATCTGGGCCCCGCCTAAAGGATGACATGTACTACGTTTATTCGACCTACAGTAAATCCTTCTCGAATGATAGCAAGCATAACACAACTGTGACCTTTTGACCTGTGAAATTTGACCTTTAAAAACACTGAAAAGTCTTTCAAGTTATTCCCTTGGTAGAAAACAACGTGACAACAAATTAGCATACTGCTAATCACTGAAATTTATCACATTGGTCTGTTAATGACATCATAAAAATGGCATCACTTATGATTAAACGTAATCAAATGATAATGTAACTTAATCAAATCATATAACCAGTACATGCAGAATATATGAAGAAAAGGACAGTCTTGCGAAAGAACTACAGAGTGACCTTGATCTTCTAAATATGCCATTAACTCACATGTACCAACCTCGCGAGCCAACGCGAAGTGGGAACTTCAAAGGAAAATGAAACAAGACACGCACTGTTTTGTTCGAAACCGCACATACCTATAACGCCGCACATTGTAACGCAGAAAATGTGACGTTTCTGTAAATGTACACATAGTCATTCAAAAATACCTGGCAATAACCACCAATAACTAATAACTACTTTTCTTTAAATAATAGCTTCCACGGTGATGTGGTTGGCAATTCGACTGTTTCTATTATATAACCTATATCAGGTACCACGTAGTGATTGGTGGAATATGTAACAATATGATGTTGAAACGGGCACAGGTATTACTTCACCGATGGGTGGAATGTGATGGGCACTTTCAGGAGCACGTGCTTGAGTTACCTTGAAGAACAATGACATTCGTCTCATGATCAACCATACTTACTCCTCTTGAACAACAGTTGCCTTAGGGTCAAACACATATTGAACCTCGTAGTCCCCCAAACTCTTGACTCCTTTGCTGCTGAGCATTTTGGTGACAACCATAATATCAAAGGTCACATTTCTGTCTGGCAGAGTGTGCAGAATATCAACCATCTTCAGAGGGGACTGAAAGAAAAATTTGAATCTTTAACTGTAGCCCAAACAGTAAATTTACACATGAGCAAAAGTTAATCAACAAACGAATTCAAGATATGAATATACGGATTTATTCATATATGTGATCATGATATTCGTTGTCGTACCACCATGTCAATTGGTGTATATTCGAAAGAGAAAATAAGTGTAGTCAAGTGACCAAGCAGTGACGTCCTATGTTAGTAACGTCAAAGTCCATGATCCTCAGATGTGTGCATTGCCACGAACAGACCTGTCCGAAGAGGAGGGTGGCATGCAATACGTAATTACACGTCCTGCAAATAACTGTTTTTGTGATTAATCATGTTTACATATTGTAAATGTCAAAATGCGTCAAAGTTATATGAGCCTAACGTTTCGCAATCCGCACAGCAAGGCATTTGGTCTTAGGTATGAAAAGACACGTTGGTTTTAAGAATTTGAGAATTCTGTGTTTGTGTTTGTGTTAGCGTCGGACAGATGTGGGCGAAAACTGTACAGTAGCGTGAAGCGTGGTGTAACAACCTCATGGTTGCCTGGAGTCGCCAATACAATAAAACGAGTGAAAACGAGTTAAACGGTATCTAACGGAGACTCATTTACTATTCCATATGTATACTTTAGGTAGTTAAACCACTGCAACAGCAGGGTATCCATCACAATATACGATGGAGTATCAGAGGGACAGTAAACCTACCTTATCAGATGGTGGTGAACCATTCAGAGTTGCTGGGTAGGCTGGTGGGAAGCCGTAGTAGTCGTACTGGGGGAAGTTGACGGCGGCGTGCTGGACGCTGCACGTGAAGATGAACGACGTCAGTGTCTGGATGAAGTCTTTTAGGTAACGAAACTCACCATTGCCCGGAACACCCTGTGCCGAAAGACGTCTCTGTACAGGTACATTGTGAAGAAGGTGTATTGAACTGTGTTTGTTGTTTGACGCCACACTCAGCAATATTCCAGCTATGTGACGGCGGTCTCTAAATAATCGAATCTGGACCAGACAAAAAAGTGATTGACGTAATAGTGAGTGAGTGAGTATGGTTTTACGCCGCTTTTAGCAATATTCCAGCAATATCACGGCGGGGGACACCAGAAATGGGCTTCACACATTGTACCCATGTCGGGAATCGAACCCGGGTCTTCGGCGTGACGAGCGAACGCTTTAACCACTTGGCTCCCCGACCGCCCCGATTGACGTAATAAGCACCGATCTACGCAATTGGGATACGATGAGATGGATCCCGCTTGTCGCTTCTTATGACAAGCATGGTCGCCTTTTACGGCAAGACGGATTGCTGAAGATGTATTCTAACCCGGATCTTCACGGGTTCCTTAAACTGTAAAATAAAAATGCCAAAGACTATACGATACAATTGTTTGAACTTTTTGTCATATTTCGCGCACGTTTGACAATACTTGCACAATTAGCGTGTATTTGTTTTTATTAGTTACGGCACCTACTTGATTGTTATTAAGCCGGCAAACAGTCTGTCATTCTAGCTATAGTAGGGGCGTGTCTTAATTAAAATAATATAATAATCATATATCATTTATGGTGATACTTCACTTACAAACAGTTGCATGTGCAGTATAATTGTTATGTGATACTTCACTTAGAAACAGTTGCATGTGCAGTATAATTGTTATGTGATACTTCACTAAGAAACAGTTGCATATATACATTATGTTTGTTATGGTGATACTTCATTTACCAACAGTTGTATATACATTATGTTTGTTATGGTGATACTTCACTTACAAACAGTTGTTTATGCATTATGTTTGTTACGTGATACTTCACTTACAAACAATTTATTATGCATTATGTTTGTTATGGTGATACTTCACTTACAAACAGTTTATTATGCATTTTGTTTGTTATGGTGATTCTTCACTTCCAAACAATTTTTTTATGCATTATGTTTGTTATGGTGATTTTTAACTTACAAACACTTGTATATTAGTTGTTTCGAATGGTGATCCTTGGCTTACAAACACTTGTACATTAGTTGTTTCGAATGGTGATCCTTGGCTTACAAACACTTGTACATTAGTTGTTTCGAATGGTGATCCTTGGCTTACAAACACTTGTACATTGGTTGTTTCGAATGGTGATCCTTGGCTTACAAACACTTGTACATTGGTTGTTTCGAATGGTAATCCTTGGCTTACAAACACTTGTACATTACTTGTTTCGAATGGTGATCCTTGGCTTACAGACAGTTGTATATGTAGTAAAACAAATAACCACAATGTCCTCGTTTACGCAGATGTTACTCATCATGTTTTTCGTGCGTTAGTCAAGCGTTCGGCATCCATTAATTGCCGTTAGACAATCATGATGTGTCACATCTTTACTCATGCATAAAATATACAATTAATATGTCGGTACCTAATTCTATCGCAATTTGCTTGCAGATTTGCCCCATCCACTCAGATATTTCCGCACAAAATTCTTCTAAGGTACAATCGATAACCAAGGACACACACCCCTACCCTGCGAGTTCCCACCCGACACACACCATGAAGGTTAAAATCCACCATGTGACATCCTCCCCTCCACAACCCATACACTGACCAAGCATTACATGCTGCTGGTCTACTTGAATAAGACCTTCGCATTTTCGCGTATAGTAACTGTGCGCGGTAATATAATAAGCAATAATATGACAGTCATGTTTAACTACGTAGACATGTACACTTAATTCATATTGCTTGTTTAAAAGTGTGGAAGTCAAATATGTATGATAACAAAGGGACCCGGAAGTATCGCTAGGCTGGTACGACCGCGACGCTATTGCCACGCCCAGTTCCACTCACCCTCATCCCAATGCCCCCATCTTCCCTCAGTGCTACCAGCTCCTTGGCAAAGGCCTGGACTTCCCAGTCAGCAAGCAGAACAGCGTTCGACTCTGAAGTATACGTTGTACATGTTGTCACAAAGTAGATGCCAAATGAAAGTTCTTTGTGCTTCCCACATATTCTGGATTCAGAACATGTTGAGTTTGGCATGAGGGGTTTAACGTTTATCGGTTCGCATTGACAGGTATATTTTCGTAATTGATGACGTTGACGTGATTGGAAGCCGAAGGAGGCAGTGTGGTGTTTAAAATTAATCAAAACGAGGATGACATTGAACACTAGTTAAGCTAATTAGAGATTAAAAAAAACCCAGAAGGTATCTGACTGCACAATCAGAAGCGAAATAAAATATTCTCCAACTTAATAGTATAACTAGTACGTATGTTTGTAACAATTACACTTTCAGTATGACTTACCGTAATACAAGTTGACATACTTGGTGACGTACGTGTTGATGGCGTTATATAAGAGTAACCCGTCATCACGGTAGTGGAAGTTAGGCAATACCTCCTTGTCGTACACCTGCAATAACAGAGTTCCTGGAGCTACACAAACGAACTTCCAATCAGAGGCTTAATAACAAAGATTACATGTGTTTGTAAATTATCCATAACGAGAGTATGAAGAGTTGTTGGATATAAAAACGTTCAAGGATAATTCGTATGCCTTTCTTGTAATCATCTCATAGTAGAGTGTTGTATCCAGGAATCAGCTTAATCTTTACTCGTCTGATCAGTCACCGTCCTGTAAATACCCGTAAGTCAGCTACCTGGTCTCTATGGACAGAGATCGCAGGCGGCTGCAAGTGTCTGAAAACTGCGGCAGACAAGATCGACAATGGCGTCAAAATTCTTTAATCTTTAACTTTAATCATGAATAAGGTAGTAGCCTAACTAATCCAAATGTCAGGTTTCAAAAATAGATCAAGTACAGAAATCCCAGAAATTGCGGAAGGCTTGAATGATAACCAATTATTTGGTGTTGAAGTCGGGAAAATGACACCTTGCCACAATCACTGAGAGATACAATCTAGAATTTAAATTACATCTATTTCGTAAATATTCTGAGGACAATGCAATTAGGATAATTATGTTGAATCACAATATATTGGAATGGTCATAATATATTGTAGGGGCGATATCGGGGTTATCAAACACTCTTCAGCAAAAGGTAGCACAGTAGAGAAAATGTCTTCCTTATTTACACGAGTGTTTATTTGCAAAGGTTCCCTGAAAATCACCAAAATTCGATTAGGTATATACATTCTATTCAGTGGGCAGCACAGAAATACAATGGAAGGGGTTGGAGATCATACGATCAGTATTTGTAAATAGACAGGCACGCAATCCAAGAAATTCATAGGTTATTGGTCCAGGCAGATCCAATCCAACTCAAACAAGCCAACACTTTTCAAGTATCACCCGATAATACCACTGTATTGAAAAGTTTAGTTGAAGTATTTACACAGGGTTATAAGTTTGAGTTATGTTGGTCCTCATAAAGGTTAAAATCTCCTCACCAAAAATCGGCAGGAAAAAAAGAGCGGGAAGAATGTTGGGTCCATTTTCGATATCTACCTACACCTAATCTCAGGATATCACCGATCGGCATTGTACCTAAAAACAGGTCAATTTCGATTACAATATACTAATTTTGACATTACAGTGAAGGTGGTTCTAACTTAGGTACAGACTGCCGTTTAGCAAAGTCGTATAGAAGAGGCGCTATTTGACTTTGTTCTGTTAATCATTCAGGATTTAACGTGAAAGGAATAACATTAAAGTAAGAGTATAATGTGGACATGTGCCCATCCAAGGGGAGCAATGTAAGTTGTGCTCTCGTTGAAACGTTTGCAACATGTCATCAATGGGGTGTACAACAATCAGTTCAAGCTGGAGAACATTACCTGGATAACGTACTTTTTGGAGGTGAGGTGAAAACAAATATATGCAGCATATCACCAGTAAAGTTTATGAATTTTTGTGAAGAGTTGAGGATCAAATATTAACAATTCAACCATGCACAAAGTCTCAGCTTTTTGGATGTTAATCTAATAGTAAACTCAACACAATAGCAGATTCATTATCTCTTTCCGAATTTTAGAGGTTTCTTCAGTTGCCACTGACGCGGAACGGAGACGACACAAATACCAACTTCGATAAGGAATCGCTGGTGGCTGAAGCTGAAAGGCTATCAGAGCATTTGATCGCAGAGAAAACACCGGAAGCATACAATCTCCAGCCGATCAATTCGAGATGTTCAGATTACTAGTAGATCACGTGATCAGCTCACTTGTAGCATTTAGTTGGGTATTTGGGTTACCAGTCGGTGCGACGGGCGTCGCCAGACAAGCGGCACAACATGTGCCATGATTCTGCAGAAAACATACATTACGTATAGGGGAATGTCCGAGTAACTCTCCATTCCTTAAAAAAATATAGGAGCAGAGGCCCCGCAGGGGCCGAGGCCCATTATTTTTAAGGAATGGAGAGTTACTTTTACACTTTGACAAAATATTCTGTAGTTGAAAATATTTGAAAATTTCAAATGCTGCTTCAAGATAATGTACAGTTGACAAGCAACTCACCATTCCTGAAAAATAATGGAGCGTTCAAACAATAGAATGAAGTCACAGATGTGTTTTAATTGGCCTTCCTGATCCAACTGTGTCTTTCTATTACGAATAATTCTGAAATGGATGATCAATGGACCCCATTTACCCTTTGTTTGCTTGATTAACTGATGCAGCGTATCTGATCATCATGCCATAAGCGACTTTGTTGAAGGCCATGATCTCATTTATAAGAGAGGTGACACCAGCTGGATCAAAACATGAAGGCAGATTGCTGTTTGGAGGTGTCAAGATCCAAGAAAATGATGTTACTGATCTGAATGGTCATAGCTCAACAATGCAAATATCCAAATGTATTTGACATCCTCAGCTCTTCACTACATAGCCAGTAACACAGTTTCAAATCAGGGATGTGCTATATGGCAGTGTAATTTATTGAGTAGAAGTTCATGGCATTGTGTTGAGTTTTGACAGTGGTTAGTTGTCAAGAATATAGTACTATATAATGTAGGCAGTGGTGTAGAAGTTACTATGATTAAATGCTTTTGGGGGAAGTGTAATCTTGAATCTTTCAGAACATTTAGATTGATCTAGCATGTTACCAAGCATGATAGAAGGGATTTAGACTATGTTTAGGGACAATATCATGCCTCTCTCATCTCACATTACATCAAGACCAGCGGTTGTGTGAAGATCATATTTTCACCCTGGAATTCCAGCCAAGGCCAGGATTTGAAGTTTGACAACTGTTGCTACTTGATGAATACTCTTATCACTGTCTTTATTGCTATCACAACTGCTACTGTATTTTATACTGCCATTGTATTTGTACTGCCGTTGGAGTTTGTATTACTACTTTATTGTATACTGGAATTGTAATTACTTTGCAGTAATTTGTATTGATTTGTAAACCTAGTTTATTTCACAATTCAATTGTTAATTGCATGATATGTCTTTGTTGTTAGTTGGTTTCACACTGAATTTAAAGTTTGGAAGTGGACACGTAGCAGCTGTACTTGTAATTGCTAAAACTCTTAGATTTATTGGCTGCAGTACATCATCAGACGAATCACATTCCTATCACATTGGTACAGCAGCGAAAGCAGCGAGTCAAAACGTCCCGGTTAAAACAATCAAGAAATGAGGCCTGTGGCCGTGAAATCCTTTACGTTGTATATAATAATCCACTTGGCTAAAATCAGAACTTTGTATAGTCGGCTCGTCGATTGTACCCTGGGGTCGCAGAAGAGCATCTGTGGTTGAAGGAACTTGGAGGAGGGGTAACTTGGCTTGCGAAAAGAGGGTTGATGTGGTTCCGACTAATCTCATATCTACGACTAAAGTTCCAGAGGTCACCACCACACAAGACACTAGTTGCCATGTAGTTGGGGTCCAATCAGGTATTATAGGATATTGAAGCAAATGGCAAATGCTTTTTTGCTGGGGGTTATTACAATGAGCTGGTTTCGCCAGACTTATAGCAGGCTACGAGATACTCTCCCTGTAACTACTCTCAGTATCGCCAGTCAACTTGATTCTCCTGTTGATAATTCTTTTGATTTGCATTGGAATACACTGCTTATGTACTAGGTTTTTCCTGCTTTGGGGGTCCTAAGGATGTGAATTTTGATATTCTCGTTGGTGTGTGGCGACTCTGCTTAGCTTGGATTGCCCAGGTACCTTCGAGTAGGCACCCACTATAGGTCTTGGGTCCCAAGGCTCCCAACTACTATACAACTTGTAACAAAATGACGTTCAACCGTTCACTTACCCCTCTCCTCTTGAGGTCTTCCGGGAGTGTTCCGTCCACATCGAGGCGCCACTGTGATACGCTGAACCAGAGAGATCAGATGTAAGTCATGATGGCATACAACTTGAAAATAGAGAAACCTGGGTTCATTCCGTGTCAATATAAAGGCACACAGTCAAGGGGAGGGGTGGGGAGGTGAACATTGGTCCACGATCAGCGTATTTCCGTATAATTCAGTTTGCTTGGTATGATTGCAATTCAAGTAATCATCACGAGTAATACGAAAGTCATTATGTCATAACAAATAACAGATACCATGAATTATGTTTACTGCTCTGTTCAGTTTACTGGTGTTATCTTTCAACACCCACACCAAATTTTTTGTTGTATATGAAACCATACAGATTGTTACCCGAGCTTCACAAGGTTGATAACTCCATTTCTGCCAACAGTCATAGTATTTTGAATCCACCCGTCCTGAGCCAACAACTTCTCCACAGCACGACTGGAAGAAAGCAATGAAATGATTTCAGATACAGTTTGCTGAGTGAAATGCAGGAGGTGATTTAATGGACCGGGTGGTTTGATTCAGTGTCATCGTACCCGACGGCCTGGGTCATTGCTCAAGATACCAATCTCTGGATTGTCTGGTCAACAATCAATTACTTACATATAGTCGTTACATATTTGGAATATTGCTGAGTGCAGCGTTGAACAGGAAATCGAGAAGAGATAATCCTGTATTACAAATTGTATTCCATTTAATGTTGTATTTAAAATTACCATAAACAAGTAAGATACATCCACATTTTATGTATTCGTACATCTTCAGTTGTGAGGTTAAATGTATGTGCAATGATTATTATTTTAAAATGGAAAAATTCTTTGCATCACTGAATTACCTGTTAATTGCAATGATGTAGAGCAGGTGCGGCGACAGGAGTTTGTAGATTGGGTGGGAGATGGCCAGATTCCTGTTGACACCCAGACTCACCCCCTCCATCAACAGGTGCGTGAACCCTGTCATAATGACAGCGGCTTTGTTCATATATTTGAGAATCAATTAATACTGATTTGATACAATAGTACAACATGCGTTGTAGGGTGCAACGTGTGAAAATGATGTATGGATGTGAAACATTGTTTGTGGTATGAACCTACCAAGGTGAGCTAAGGACTGGTGGTATGACGTCTCTGCGTGGTTGTACCACATTTTAGCCATCAGCCACACGTACTGGTCATCTGACGGCAGGAACACCTGGTGACAAGAAACAACTGTAACGTAAATTGTATTTCACGGTAAATATAAATAAACAATAGAAGAAAATAACCAATCCAAATTTTCCACCCAAACAGATTACATCTGGCGCACTTGGCAAAATAGCTCTAAAAACAATACAACGAACCATGCAACATCAGTGATAGCAGTGATCAGGTATTTGCGCAAAGGGTAAGCATCTCCTGTCCGACTGGTAGCATCCGCCATTTACACAAAATTTGCATTAAAAAAGTAAATATTTATTGCCTGACGCCGCACAGCAGAAAGTCGTTGTGGACGTGGTGCGACCTTACATATGTGTCCTTGTGATCGTGGTGCGCCCTTAGATATGGTATGTTTTCTTGTGGTCGTGGAGCGCCCTTAGATATGGTATGTTTTCTTGTGATCGTGGTGCGCCCTTAGATATGGTATGTTTTCTTGTGGTCGTGGAGCGCCCTTAGATATGTGGCCTTGTGGTGGTGCGCCTTAAGATGTGTCCTTGTGGTCGTGGTGCGCTATAGATACGTGTCCTTGTGGTGGTGCGCCCTTAGATATGTGGCCTTGTGGTCGGGTGCGCCCTTATCAGATATATGTCCCTGTGGTCGTGGTGCGACCTTAGATATGGTGTGTCCTCAAACATATACAACTGACATTTCATAATCGTTTACTGAAAGTCAATGAACAAATATGTGGCTCTTGATGTAATTATCCTCAAGATAATAATATTAACATTCTCGTAGGAACCGGTGAGGTAGATGTTTTACAAACGTTGAGTAACAAATTTACAAACCTAGTAGGGTTTTTAATGTGAACGTTTTTGGACGCCTTCCAGTGCCTTCCTAAGTGTTAGGTGTTTAGGTTTTTGGTCATTACAATCTTATTATAACACAGTAGACGACCTTTCCAAAATACCACGTGGAAAGTTAGACGTAACTGCTGTGGAAATGCCATGAAGGTTCACTTCTGATTACCGCTCGCGAGACTTCCACGTACCACTCATACATGATGGCCCTGCATGCGAAACATAGCCACGTCCTACACATTACACTGCTCCAGGTTAGACAGTAATTCATCTTAATGATGCTCAACAGTCATTACACACCACTGATAAAATAAGTCGAAGTCGGAAACAGTGTATTAATATGTATGAATTTATTAATATTTAAAAAAACGCCGTGTTTATCAGCTCCACCCGTGCCACCAAACCCACACACAATTGACCTGATAGTTTCAAGTTAATCGTGGTGCAATTTAGACACACTTATTTACTGATTCTTTGTCTTTCTAAACTGTGCTAATATTAGACAAAACGACAGTAATTACTAACATTGGCATGCAATATATACGTCGACTGCTTGACTAATTGTTGGCGAATTCAGAAATAGTAGGAAATGATTGTATTAAAGCGCCTACGTTCCTTTGAGCTTGTACATATTCTGTTACACTACTGCGTCAAGTTGTAATTGCATAATCATGTAGATTTCTATAAATAATACATTCGTCCGTGTGTGGTGACATCTGGATGACAGTGATCACATTACCGGGTTGTCTGGTCCTGGTTCCTGGAACAGCTGGATGGCGACTGGAAGCAGCTGACCGCTGTTGGTTCTGTACAGCAACAAGATCGGGGCGCATATCTGCAAGAAAAGTGTAAAATGATGACACTATATATCGTACTAGATTGTCTAGATTAAAGGCATATTGTCATTCATCTGAATATCGTTAAATGTGTCATGAATAGGATAAGCAAGCCACTCCCCTTCATTGACAAACTTACTTCCCTACACGTCCTGTAAAACGAGCCATGATATCATGCAAACCATGCATTGGTAACCTAGTTACAAACCACGTGTTCTTTGTCTTTTGGGGGGAATTGGTGTAAAATGTTAAGGTCACAGCAGAACAGCCTTTTGTTGGTAAGAACGTCTCCAATAGTCTGTCCCTCGAGAAAAGGCAGCAGGTCTCCGTCACCAATACCTAATCTGACAATAACAAGAATTACAAATCTGTGGCAAACGATTGTTACTTTTATAGTCGACATTATGACTTAATGAGATGCAACAGACGGCGTGTCTACACTGCTTTTATTGCCTCATCGGACATACTGTGGTCTGTAATATTGATAAATTCAACAATAATAGTCTTTCTTTTGCAAGATGAGCGAGTTGGGGAGAGCAATCTTACGTTTCTGGTTCGTGGAACTTACTTTTCCGGTAAGCGTGTACAGAGACGAATCAGGGCTGGGCAAAGTCCAGCAGTCCTCTGTTGGCCGAAGAAAGAGTCATCTTGCCAAACCTTACTGCTCTATAGATGATATGCAAGAATAATGCATTTTATTTATTTGTTATAAATGTGTTGCTTTAGACTAGGACTCACATGGAATCGAAGTTACGTATCGGTGTTACCCAGTCCATTCAGTATGTACGCTGGAGTAATATAGTATTGTGGATTACTATTAATCTTGCATTTTGGTAAAATAGTATATTACAGTGGAATTACCGAATCAGCGGAGAGGTAGTATATATAGTATCATAGCTGTAGATGTTGAAGCGGGAAAAAAACTGAACTGTAGAAGTAATTAGGCTATGACTTTGACTCGACCACTTCACGTTACCTTTGGTTCGTTGAAGATGTGCATTACGTAAACGTTTCTTATGTCATCCAGAGTTTTCCATTTTCCTGCTGTAACCATGGTTATTTTGCTCTGAATTATCAGGCTCAGTTTAAGTTTCTGCAAGTCCCACTAGAACAGTAGAGCATGATTGAAGGCGTGCATGGGACAGGATGACGCGTCATCAGTCGACGATTTGTACATGTTCTATACGCAATAGTTTATATAAATGAATCAATAATCAACACAATCTTTACAAGTTGTATGTGAACACCCAATCCACTGTGCAATATCCTTCACATATACTTTAGTCACTGGAAGAATCTCAGTTCATGAATAGTCCGCAACATCACCAAATCATGCCTATAATCAATAAGTTACCGCTATTAACATGATATTATTACGAAATGCAGTACTAAGGGTACATTCACAAAATGTTTTGACACACATACACGATACTGGCCTGAAAACATTTCATCCACAGGCAGGGTCTCAGTCTGAAATAAAACGGGACAGAGTAGCTTAATCAAGACATATCTTAAAATAATACACAATTGACACGCTAGCCAATCGTGGTTGATCGAGTAGGTCGTTTATTTATTTAATTTATATACACTAATATCCTACTCTCTGGGACCACGTTGGTAATCTTGAATCTGGCCGCGCCTATGTGGGGGCTTTGGCAATGAGCTGGGGTCGAAACATCTGGCATTCGTTTTACCTTATATTACAAATACGTTTACCCTCAACTAACTAAAATAGGGGCGGTCGGGTAGCCTAGTGGTCACGCCGAAGACCCGGGTTCGATTCCCGACATGGGTACAATGTGTGAAGCCCATTTCTGGTGTCCCCCGCCGTGATATTGCTGGAATATTGCTTAAAGCGGCGTAAAAGCCATACTCACTCACTCAACTAACTGACAGATGTTACTTAGGCTAAAATTGTGCACTTTGGGTTAAAAGCACCAAACCTGGCACACTTATGCATTGAACCATTCTGAACATTTTTGGAAATGGATCCACCTCAGCAGAGCCCCCTGGTGGTAGAAAATCCAAGATGGCCGCTAGCATGGCTGAACTCTTTATTAATATCAATATATACTCAATATATCATACTTGTCTGATCCATTTATATATATATATATATATATCCATAGTAATGCATGTAGAATAAATTGCAGCAGAGCACGTTTATACACACTACATTTGCTGCCTAAATCTGCTGAATGTATACGTTTATTGACATACGTGTTTGTATTAATTCACATTTCTTTGCCTTCACATAAGACTCGTTACACTCAACCATTTAGGTTCATATATGTCCTCCATATTACTATACAGATGAGCCTACCCTACATAAGAGTGTTAACGAGTGACGAAAAAGACAGTTGGGTATTGTGTTGACGTCTTAAGCGAGTGCCAAAACGAGGGCTACAAGGAAAGTGAGGGAGTGAAAGCTGTTTTACGTCGCAGTCAGCAATGCACCAACAATATCCTGGAGGTCTGCTGATAACTGCGTCGGGGTCAGACAATCCATAAGCAACGACCCAAGCCGTCGAGGCACGATGATCCTCCAGGTCACAAATCATTACATCCTGATCTAGTCGACTCATATGTTTACAACTTCTGAGTCATGGAGACCTATTCTAACCCTGAATAACCATGGTGGACGGATTAATGTGGATCAGAGATATAACGATGCTGACTTCTATAGATTTACACATATACTGCCTAGGGAGGAACATCGACAATGGAAGTGCGTCCGCTCGGCATGCTCTCGGCTGTCACTTGACAAAGTTTATTTTCCCTGCCACAATGCATTGACTTCATCCCTGACATAAATCTCCAGTAGTCGAGGTGCCTATTGTGACAACACAAGAGTAGGCTTCTATTTGCAACACTGCGTTAATGTACATCAGTCTGTCATCCGGAAGAAAATAGATAAAGGCATGGCCAGTTATATTCAAAACACTTTCTTATAGGGAATGCTTGGCTGTCCTTGAGGCTGACATCATAAAGTTTGCTGTCATGTGTGTGTGTGTGTGTGTGTGCGTGCGTGCGTGCGTGCGTGCGTGCGTGCGTGCGTATGTGCGATGCGAAAACTGTGAAACATCAGATATTTTATTCATGTTTTATATATGCACCTACATACAAGTTTTTGTTTGCAGCATATGATTATAGTACATACCGATGCTGGCAGCTTCAAGTCGACGGTTTTAATCTTGTACAGTTTGCGTTTGTCCTCCAAGTCCAGCCTCCTCTGCTCCTGTTGGGCATCATCCTGTGGAAGGAAGGTGTCATTTTCCCGGAACACGTAGTGGTAGTGAGGTCGCAGCCACCTGAACACGGGAAAGGTGTACACGTCTCCGTTAGACTTGTTCTCCACTGTGATCCTTTCAACGTACCAGGAACTTCCAAAGCCAGAGTCGTCACGGAATATTTCAAGCTTGTCAAGCTTGCAAAGCCTTTCTGTTTGCGTCCGCTGTAGCTCGAATTTGTCGGTATTTCCCCTCTCAAAATCATCCCTGAAGAAGTGGTTGAGATTGATTTTGGGAGAAGTCGTGCCATGATTATCATGGAGAATTATAGAAACATTGGCGTTGGTCCCAGCACCCTGTAAATCTCCTGTACGGACAGAGACAACTAGCGGGCCGTCAGTCATGTTGAATTGCTGTATGTGAACTGACTGCCTCACCGATCAGCAACACTCACGTGACCTCGTTTTACTTATGTGCCTCGACTCGCTTGACCTGCCACACATTATCCGACATTGTGCATGGAGTCAGGGATACGTCAAGTCGTGGGCCTGATGTGGGATCTGAAACTATTTCAAGGGAGTTTACAAGATTTTGCTAGAATATTACCAAAAGGACATATATGTTATAATGTACTATTTGAAGATATGCTAACATAGTTAAAGGCTCAATAATGACCTCGTGAGTGTGTTCCCCATTTCAAATTACCCTCCTTATACCCTTGAGCGTTGCGATGTTTTATGTTCCCGTCAACACAGACACTGGATTATCACATTTTATTTTGTTGATATATTGATGGTCGTAAGATGCGACCAAAAAGATCGGTCGGTCAGACTCGGTTATTTGCTTGATACAGATATCCACTCCTCATTTCAGTTTCATTACTGAATTAACTTACGAATGTTGAATTAACTCCGATAATAGTTCGATAGTCTAACAGCACTTTTTATATCACATCATATCAATCTTTTATTTTGTAAAATTCGTGTTTTTAAAATGCATTAGCATGGTGGGTTTTGTGTATGTGCCATGTTATAAAATTAAGTGAAACGTTAATGTTGAAATTTGTGCAGAAGTTGTCCCTTCAAAAGTTGTGACAAGAAACGCTTTTTACCCACTTAATATACCCTGTAATGTTTCTTCTCTTGCAGCATGTGGACTAGTCATTATGTCTGGTGCATGGTACATAATGTTTGTGTGTTGCAGTATGTGGACTAGTCATTATGTCTGGTGCATGGTACATAATGTTTGTGTATGGCAGTATGTGGACTAGTCATTATGTCTGGTGCATGGTACATAATGTTTGTGTGTTGCAGTATGTATGCTGATCGTTATGTCTGGTGCATGGTACATAATGTTTGTGTGTTGCAGTATGTGGACTAGTCATTATGTCTGGTGCATGGTACATAATGTTTGTGTGTTGCAGTATGTATGCCGATCATTATGTCTGGTGCATGGTACATAATGTTTGTGTGTTGCAGTATGTGGACTAGTCATTATGTCTGGTGCATGGTACATAATGTTTGTGTGTTGCAGTATGTATGCTGATCATTATGTCTGGTGCATGGTACATAATGTTTGTGTGTTGCAGTATGTGGACTAGTCATTATGTCTGGTGCATGGTACATAATGTTTGTGTGTTGCAGTATGTATGCTGATCATTATGTCTGGTGCATGGTACATAATGTTTGTGTGTTGCAGTATGTGGACTAGTCATTATGTCTGGTGCATGGTACATAATGTTTGTGTGTTGCAGTATGTATGCTGATCGTTATGTCTGATGCATGGTACATAATGTTTGTGTGTTGCAGTATGTATGCTGATCGTTATGTCTGATGCATGGTACATAATGTTTGTGTGTTGCAGTATGTATGCTGATCGTTATGTCTGGTGCATGGTACATAATGTTTGTGTGTTGCAGTATGTATGCTGATCGTTATGTCTGATGCATGGTACATAATGTTTGTGTGTTGCAGTATGTATGCTGATCATTATGTCTGGTGCATGGTACATAATGTTTGTGTGTTGCAGTATGTATGCTGATCATTATGTCTGGTGCATGGTACATAATGTTTGTGTATGGCAGTATGTATGCTGATCGTTATGTCTGATGCATGGTACATAATGTTTCTGTATGGCAGTATGTGGACTAGTCATTATGTCTGGTGCATGGTACATAATGTTTGTGTGTTGCAGTATGTATGCTGATCATTATGTCTGGTGCATGGTACATAATGTTTGTGTGTTGCAGTATGTGGACTAGTCATTATGTCTGGTGCATGGTACATAATGTTTGTGTGTTGCAGTATGTATGCTGATCATTATGTCTGATGCATGGTACATAATGTTTGTGTGTTGCAGTATGTGGACTAGTCATTATGTCTGGTGCATGGTACATAATGTTTGTGTGTTGCAGTATGTATGCTGATCATTATGTCTGGTGCATGGTACATAATGTTTGTGTGTTGCAGTATGTGGACTAGTCATTATGTCTGGTGCATGGTACATAATGTTTGTGTGTTGCAGTATGTATGCTGATCATTATGTCTGGTGCATGGTACATAATGTTTGTGTGTTGCAGTATGTATGCTGATCATTATGTCTGGTGCATGGTACATAATGTTTGTGTGTTGCAGTATGTATGCTGATCATTATGTCTGGTGCATGGTACATAATGTTTGTGTGTTGCAGTATGTATGCTGATCGTTATGTCTGATGCATGGTACATAATGTTTGTGTGTTGCAGTATGTATGCTGATCGTTATGTCTGATGCATGGTACATAATGTTTGTGTGTTGCAGTATGTATGCTGATCGTTATGTCTGGTGCATGGTACATAATGTTTGTGTGTTGCAGTATGTATGCTGATCGTTATGTCTGATGCATGGTACATAATGTTTGTGTGTTGCAGTATGTATGCTGATCATTATGTCTGGTGCATGGTACATAATGTTTGTGTGTTGCAGTATGTATGCTGATCATTATGTCTGGTGCATGGTACATAATGTTTGTGTATGGCAGTATGTATGCTGATCGTTATGTCTGATGCATGGTACATAATGTTTCTGTATGGCAGTATGTATGCTGATCGTTATGTCTGATGCATGGTACATAATGTTTGTGTGTTGCAGTATGTATGCTGATCGTTATGTCTGATGCATGGTACATAATGTTTGTGTATGGCAGTATGTATGCTGATCGTTATGTCTGATGCATGGTACATAATATTTATTAATGTTTGTGTGTTGCAGTATGTATGCTTATTTTTCGTTATGTCTGATGCATGGTACATAATGTTTCTGTATGGCAGTATGTAAGCTGATCGTTATGTCTGATGCATGGTACATAATGTTTGTGTGTTGCAGTATGTATGCTGATCGTTATGTCTGATGCATGGTACATAATGTTTGTGTGTTGCAGTATGTATGCTGATCGTTATGTCTGATGCATGGTACATAATGTTTGTGTATGCCAGTATGTATGCTGATCGTTATGTCTGATGCATGGTACATAATATTTATTAATGTTTGTGTGTTGCAGTATGTATGCTTATTTTTCGTTATGTCTGGTGCATGGTACATAATGTTTGTGTGTTGCAGTATGTATGCTTATCTTTCGTTATGTCTGATGCATGGTACATAATGTTTGTGTGTTGCAGTATGTATGCTTATTTTTCGTTATGTCTGATGCATGGTACATAATGTTTGTGTGTTGCAGTATGTATGCTTATTTTTCGTTATGTCCGGTGCATGGTACATAATGTTTATGTATGGCAGTATGTGGACAGACAGAAGATCTGGGCTAAACTGCTTGAAGTGCACATAAAAGGTAAAATGTTTAACTCTATTACATCACTGTACAAGAACGTGCAATGTTCTGTCAGGCTCAACGGAAGATCAACACCATGGTTTGGAGTAAAATGTAGACTAAAGCAGGTATGCATGTTATCACCCCTATGTTTTAACCTTTTCATAAATGACCTTATCGCTACCATAAACCAAACGTCCATAGGAGTTGTTATCGATGAGATGACTGTTGGTATACTTGCATACGCCGATGATATTGTGCTACTTGCGGAGTCGGAATCCGAGTTAAATCTACTATTGGACTGCTTGAGTATATGGTGTCAGACCAACTCGATGGCTGTGAATATTGACAAGTCCAAAGTCGTACACTACAGGAGCTCCTCAACTACGAAGACTAATTGTATTTTCAAGTGCGGGGTCAGATCTTGGAGATCGTCGACTGCTATAACTATCTGGGCATTCTCTTGACAGAACATCTCGACTATAATCGTATGGCCAGAGCAGCAGCCAGTTCAGCCAGTAGATCCCTGGGTCTCCTCATATCTAAATATAAAGCTCTTGGAGGTATGCAGTACAAGACTTTTACTAAGTTATTTGACTCCATGGTATGGTCAGTAATAGAGTACGGTGCAGGAATATGGGGGACGTACAACATGTCACGCATTGAAGCCGTCGGTGGAGACATGGGGTGGACTACCCCAGTCGTGCGGCAGTGGGGATCTGTATCACCCTTTACATGAGATTACGCACCATGTATCCTGGACGTCTAGCACATCAAGTTCTCAATTGGACCAATCGGTTGGCGGCGCGACGTAAACGGAATCAAGTTTTTAGAATACACCTGAAGTTTGATGCACTTGGACCATCTCATTTTAACAACTTTAATTACACGTATGACAAATGTTACGTCACAGAAAATTGGATGAAGCTGATCAATCAAAAGAATAGCGTACATGGAACAGGTGGAAATACGCTGAGAACCTTCGCCACTTTTAAAGTCGAATATAGAGTCGAGTCTATGTGTTGGGTGAGCTTCAGCGGTCACACAGAGGCGCCCTTTCAAGATTCCGGTGCGGAGTTGCGCCGCTTCACATATAAACTGGACGTTACAACAGTACCCCTATTGAAGAAAGAACTTGTTATGTATGCAGAGATACAATTGAGGATGAAAAATATGTTTGATAACACTGCCCACAGTACCAGTCTTACAGATGCCACCTCCTTTCAAAGTGCAATTCAATCTGTCCTGATTCTAACGATTTTAGTGATAACCAGAAGCTTTTATACTTTCCAGCCCAGAAATGATTTTTACATCTGCCAAAACCTGCAACAGAATTTTATTAGAAAGAACACGGGCTTTATACAACTGATTTTTACGATGAGTTTTATTACGGTTTTTAGGATCTTTTTTATGTATTTATATGTCATACGCTTTTACCCAATAATTTTAGTCTCTCATAACTCTGCTTAGAGTGGCTCGTGCTACACCTTCATATTGTTATACCTTGTAAATATTTTAGTATTTGTAGCAAACGAGGTGAGACTTTAATAAATTATCTGTCTGTCTGTTAATCCAGCTTATCTTTACTTGGTTCATCCTTCACTCTCATGGATTAATTAGTCTTTGGGACTGTCCCATTATAAGTAGGTGAAATCCCTTTGTTGTTTTGACCAAGTGTAGGGGTACTGGGCTGTAGGTGTTTAGGGAGATAACCTGTTATATCATGGAAGATACCAGAGAGGGAGAGGGTTCTACTTAATAC